AATGGTGTATACTTGCATATTATAAGCAAGGAATTACATTTGGGTAAATGTGTGTTTTTTCTATTTATTTTTATCCCTCAAAATACTTTTCCATATTTTTAAGAACTATTACGTTTCATAGAAGAATGATCTGTTTTAAAAAGTATATCTGGTTTAGTGACTATCTCTATTCATGAAATAAGGATGATAGTATTTAAGCTTTAAATGTCTATTGATATTTTAAAAATTAGTCACAGTACTTGCTCTTTTTTTGAACTATAAACTTTATTTGACAGACATACAACTTTTACCGCATGATAGAAGGGAGAGAGGGAGAGAAAGAGATAGAGTTTGGGGGGTGGAGAGAGAGACAGGGGTAGATATTTAAATATAAACATAGATTGCATGTGTTAATGGGTAAGTGTTTTTTTGTTTGTGTGTGTGTGTGTGTGTGCGTGTGTTTTTTTTTTTCCTATTCAGCCCTTCACTAACTAGACTTAAAATAGTGGAAAGGAAAGTACACAAAGAAAAGACTCTAAAACAGCGGTTCTCAACCTTCCTAATGTCACGACCCCTTAATACAGTTCCTCATGTTGTGGTGACCCCCAACCATCAAATTATTTTCGTTGCTACTCTATAACTGTAATTTTGCTACTGTTATGAATTGTAATGTAAATATCTTTTTGTTTTCCATGGTCTTAGGCAACCCGTGAAAGGGTCATTCGACCCCCAAAGGGGTCGCGACCCACAGGTTGAGAACCACTGCTCTAAACTTACATAAGCTGATGAACATAAGACATTGAATAATATGGAATGAAATCAAATTAAGTTTGGCTTGTTATAGCAAATGGTTTTTCAACTAACATTTTTAATATTGCTAAATAACTAAAAGGAATTGGTTCAGAAAAGGCAGATAATTTTACCTTCTTTAACAGGAATGGCCCATGAAATATGCCCCAAAGCACAGCCCTTGTTTTATTCATTGGCAAGACTATCCAACACCAGCATGCACGTCTACGTATCTAACATACAAGTATATGTATTTATACGTTATATTCCTTTCTCTGCCAAGCAACTGATTCTATTCTTAGATGAAACTTAAGTCTCATGTAGATCTACAGAAGCTGAGGAACAAGAAAGCATATCCCCTTTTAATAGTATAAAGTTCTTATTTTGCAATAAGTGGCCATAAAAGAAATAAAGGATTTCTAGATGAATGGATTTCTTACATAAGAAGAAAATGAACTTCTTCTGGTTTTATATCCTCTAAACTTTCCTAATAATATATAGGCTCCAGTGAAAGTCTGGCATTCTTTAATGATATAAATGGTCTGCAAAACGATCAGTTGTGCTGTTCTTTGGAACAACACTCTTGCTTTCAGATGAATTCAGGAAAAGAATAAAAACTAGCTAGCTAGTGAATTAAATCCACAGGATTGATTTCTTAAGCATGGGGTTTATGTGAAAACATATCCGAAGGGTTGTCTTTTTGCAGCCATTTGATACTACAAACATTTAGTTAAGAAGAAAAGAAATCAGCTGGAATATTTTTTTCTCACATGGGAAAAATTAGATCCATTCCATGGTATTTAAGATATTTCTGGTGGGTTGTATTTTCCTATTTGTCCTCTGTGGCATGACATCAACAAGCCTACTTTCTCAGTATGTCAAGACTCTGTCAAAATACAAAGCAATTTTGAAAACATATATTCTCCAGGTATTTCATTAGGTCATGTGAGGAGACTGAGAAGCCATAGCAAGTGTGCCTCTCACACGCACTGGTACCTCCTGCCTACCTCTCCCATTCCAAATCATGGCATGAGCATATTTTTTTATTGTAATGCTTGTAACGGGAAAAGATTACTTTTCATAAAAAGGAGAAAATAAGGATTTATGATAGTTCAGATTTCAGAAAGCTGCACAAGAGAAAGCAAATCCTCCTAGGACTGACTGGTCTTTCCAGTTTGAAATGTGATTCTAGCAGCTTTGTATCTGTCCTTAAAGTGGTAAACAAATTATTAGGCTTTCTACAAATCTTTCCAGAGTCTCAAAGTCACATGCCAATTCAATAATTAGAATTCTGGGTATGTGTTCATCCTTAAGTATATTACTATTATATCATGCTAAATGTAGGAATAAAGTAGATTAACAAAACAATCACTCTTATCATACTTCTACTTTTTAAAATTCCCCACATTAAACCTAATGATTATTACTGCTTCAAATATCTTTTGGATGATTTTTTTTTAAGTCCTTGCTTTTATGCTCAACTCTATGCATCACCAAGGGAAAGAATACTGTGATTAATAATTGTTATTACACACACACACACACACACACACACACACACACACATTTAGCTATATATTTAGTTTACAGACATGTAAAAACATTGTTCATTGTTTGTAATCTTTATAATTCACACAATAAGCATTTTCTGTCCACTTCAAGGCCCTCACAGTGCAGGGGACACAGGGGCAAAGACCCCAGTTGCTATAGGTTGCTAGGGGAGATAAGACACATCCAGAAATAATCATAACATAAAGAAGTATGAACAAATGCTATGAGAGCTATGTGAAGAAAAATCAAGCAAGTTGCAAGGGAAGTGGAGCTTCTGCCTGAGGTGACACTAAAGAGTGACTATGTAGTTATCTGGTCAAAGACTTGCTTGTCTTAATTGATTCTGGAAAGCTGAAAGAACTGACTTACTAGAAAGACATAAGAGTGTCTTATTGTGTGTGTGTGTGTGTGTGTACAAGGACATTTCTGATACCCCACGTAATGCACCCCTATCTAAACCTTGCTTTTATCTAGCAACACTAGTTATTTTGCTTAGCTAATATTATTATAGAAAAGCAAGTTTCCTATATGAGGGAATCCCTTTTTTCCTGAAGCAAAAGGACTTAGCTATAGTTGAGAAAAGAGTGGTAATTTTCACTATATATTGTATTTTGTGTTGAGAATCTAGCTATTTCTGGTGGATTAGTATATTTTTAAAAAGGCTTGCTACAGCTAGCTGCTTTTTTCAAAATGTTGTTTAGGTGACCAATTATGAAATTTAATTTAACTATTTTTTCATTCTCAGTTGGAAAGAAAAACAATACCAATTGTGCTAACCTACCATATCCAAGTGGGAAGACCTAGCAATATGAGAGGTTTAATCATGTTCTATTTCTATGTACACTTTATATATTTTAATTGATATAATTATATTGGGATATGTAAGTCATAGTAACTTTGCACAATTAGACCAAACACACTCCCACAAAAGAAACTCTCCATATGGAAGATGGGTAGAGGAACAGATTAAGAAAAGTTGGGATTTTGTGTGTTACTCTTACAGTTATTTTTATTATTATTTTAGTTTAACAAAATATTTTATTTTTAACATGCTTTTTAGTGTTTTTTTTCTTAAAAGTGGCCAAAAAGAGATGAGACTTCAAGTTGCCATGTTGACCATACCAACAATAAAACAAAAAACCAAAAGGGAAGAAGACAAAATACAATTCACTTTTAATTAAAATGAAAAATTAACAATCTAAACTTAACCATATACATTAATAATATTTCTAATTCAAAGATATACTTTCCTAAAGATATCATTCTACTTGAGATCTTTGGGCAGGTGGGTAGGAGCTAGCAGGAAAAAAAAGAGTAGCAAAAAGTTCAAAGAGTCTTACAAGAATTCCCATGTTTAAACGTGTGCAAAAGTTCACATATAATATACTGATGAGTGAATAGAAAAGGAAGCCAAGCTAAGTGTCTTCAATAAATTCAACTCCAAAATATATGAACACATACTAAAATAATACAGGTTACAAATAGAAACTTTAACAGTCATTCTATAGACTTTTTTACTTTGTTTCCTTATTAAGTTCCTAATTATCAGTAGGCATGATTCCAACATGTTATATTTGCTATAATCCATACATACTTCCAGAATAGGAAAACACAATTTGTGTATAAAAAAGAGAAATAATAGTAGTTTCTGTGTTTGTGTGTGTGTGTGTGTGTGTGTGTGTGTGAGAGAGAGAGAGAGAGAGAGAGAGAGAGAGAGAGAGAGAGAGAGAGAGAGATTGATTGATTGTAGGAGAGTGATGTCAGAATTGAGGCCAGGAAAAGGTACATATTCGGTGTGTGTGTATACATTTACTGCTATGTGTTAGACACTGCAATTTGAAGGGTAAATATGGGCTTTTAAAGGCTAAATTCATGATTAGTGTAAGCAGAAATGAAAAGCCAATGTTTTTCTCTGTTAATTATTCATCAAAAGCCTATACAAAAAGTTTAGCAACACCTGGCATTTTTGCCCTTTTATGAGCAACAAAAGCCCTCATTTCATTCAGGGTTTAGGTGTTTATTTTGTTTAAGATCTCAGTACACGTTCTAGACAAGAAAATAGAAGGGATAAATGAAATTCCATGCTTACTGATGTAAGTGCCATTCAAGACACTGTTATTACACTAAACTCAGTTAAGCTGGTTTTGAGTCACCCATAAAACCAATTAACAAGAAAACAGAACAAAAGGAAGGGCATCTTAAAACTCTCCTAATTAATTGAAATTTGCAATTGATAAGCAATTTTTCAACTCTACCATCCTTAGGAAATGTGGCTTCCAAATTGTGGGCTTCAAAAGCGTTTTCCTTCCAATTCTGAAAGCTGACCATTCTATTCTGTAACATGTGAGAACGTCTAGCCTTAGCAAGAAGTCATTCTTTTGATATGTGTTTATTAAATGAACAAATTAGAGTTGGGTCTTTTTATTTAATCGAAATTCAGCTAGTAAGACAGGTAAAGTAAATGAAACACTCCATAATCAGAGAAATTATGCTAACTACAAAACAAACACTGCTTAGGAAAGCACGTTTAAGAGTGCTCCAAGTCTGAAATGTCCAGGCCTCACTAAGTTCAGCTTTCTACCACACTCTGCAAGAGGACTCTGACCCAACTGTCCAAGGGCCCAAGATGCCTCTATTTTATTTCACAGTTCATTCATAATCAATATAAACAAACCACCAACCTTAATTCCAGCCAGCCGTCACAATATACCTTGGATCAGATCAATAAAGTCTGAAAGATAAACAGAAAAACATCCCGTAAATTAAGTCAACTGAATGATTTAGCCTCTTATTTTACTCAGGAGGAAGATGAAGTTACTTGGTTCCTTGTACCATAAGTTTACTGGCTGACAAAGACAGATTTACAATAGGGAGGTTTATATAGTTATAAAGCTTTAACCTTAAAATTATTGCTTAGATTTCACTTAAAAATATATTAGAGGACCAAATTAGGTCTCATTTTTATTTTTAGCAGTTTCTATTTGTTTCAAGTAGAACAACTCTTATGCTTATATTCTAAAATGTCAACCAAAAAATTTTCACAAATTATATACTCAATGTACTACCATTTCTCTTAAAAGATATTTAACTAAAAACAATAAAACTGATGCATTTGCCTCCTTAATCTGATTTAACATCCACAGTCTGCAGATTTTTAGTCCAAGATCAATAATCTATTTAAAGGCAAAAAAAGTCATGTAAGACAATAGCAATAGCAACCTATCAATCTTCCCGTTTCTTTCTTCTATCTAAGCCTTGCCACTAAATTATGCTGAGAGGCACATTGTCAAATGGAAGTAACAAAAAAGGTAAACCCAGAACAAAAGGAAACCCAAAACTTCTGTGCCAAAATCAGCCTGTGTTTTGGAGACAGTAAAGAAAATAACTTTAAAATAACATAGAGTGAGATTTATGACTGTTGCAGGGCACATCTATGACTAAATTGCCAATTCAAAACACAAGTTAGGTTCTGGAAATGTGTTTGTCTCTTGTAGAATATGTTCCACATGACATTGTTAAAAATGGTTCACTTTTAAAGGAGAACGAAAAGGAGGGGAAGGAAAACATTTTCCTAAAATAAGAGGAAAAATACTAGGAGAGTGGGAAGGACAGTGGTTCAACACACCGAGTGACTGTGTGCATGTTCATGTGCTTGTGCAAGGACACTATTGTGTGTGCAAGAGGTACACGTGGGGGAAAGAGTGCACGGAATGCCAGGAGATTAAAGACAGAGGACAAGTAATGGGCACGCTGCCTGTGTGTCCTGTGGGGGTTGACGGAAATAATTCTCCTTCTACCCTTCTAAATTCTCTGGCTTCTAACCTTCCAAATTCTCTAAATTTAATTAAAAAAATCAAATTAACATGAGACAGAATAACAGGAGAAAATGACCAGCTTTATTACGTATGCACACACAGGAACCGGGTTCCCTAAGAATCCAGAACCCAAGGACACATTGGTTAGTTGAGGCTTCTATGTCCTTTTGGATTAAAGAGAGGGAGGCAGAAGCCTGGGATTCCAAAGGGAATGCGGGCAATTCACAGGTAGACAGAAAGAGTAAACAAGCGCTTGCTGGGCCACCCAGGACAATGGGACTCAGGGGGGAGTCTAACAAACAGACTTTGCTTGGTTTCACCGGGGCTGCCCTATTTAGTTTGCAGGATGCTAAGATAATAGCTCCCTTCCTTTAATCAGGTTTTTCTATCTGAATTCCTTTAGGCAGGTAAGAAGGAGGGTTGAAGTTTCTTTCTGAGTCTTTTGTTTCTTAAAAGTAACCATCTTAAAATCATCAATATTCCAAAAAGCATATTTTGGGGTGGCAAACTCTGCTTCTACTCAGCGCATGTTAACCATGTTGATTATTCATCATCATCCCCCAAGAGAAGGCAGTTCCCTAGTTGCTTGGAGCCACAGAAAGACTACACAGAACTGCGTATTTGTTTGTGTGCAGTTTTACGCCTCAGTTTATCACAGTCATTTCTTGCTAAGAGCTTCTTGACATACTAGATCAATATCCTGATATTTTAATATTCTTTTAAGTAATTGGATTTTATCTTTTCTATGTGCGCTTCCAAATATTTGCTTTCATAGTAAAAACACAATGATACTTGTGAAGTTCTTCAAAAGTCAGGCTACTGTTCCCCACCACTGTCCCCCATCCTGGCCCCATCTCCCAAAACTTCCAGTTTACTCTTTTTTTCAATACAGCCATGAGTCAAATACAAACTTTATCTAAAATATGAACGCTGTTTTAGCTATGCAAACCTTGTATTTGAATGCATAAACGTAGCAAGATGTTCAGCACACAGAAGAGTGTCAATAAATATTTGTTAAATTAATGAAGGCACATCGTGTTGTACTTTTCTGATGCTGTGTCAAATTTAAAGAAAATTCCCCTTTTTTTCCACAGAATTAAAAAAAAAAAAATCCCATCCTTGCCCCACTTGACTTGCATAGGAAACAATGAATGGGAACAAACTTTTGAGGGAGAAGAGGTATTTATGTTTGACCTGGTGGACTCAAGCTGTCTGGATGTTTGTTTGTTTACTTGCTTTTCTTGTCTTCAGGCAAGCGCTTCCATTTGCGGCACCAAGAGCAGCTGCTTTGTAAATAACTCTCTAGACCCTCCTCCCCCAACCCCCCAACCCAGTTATTGAGCAAATAGGTACAAAGAGAATGAAGATGTATGTTGCCCTAAGGCTCAATCCTCACTGAGAACATCTGCCATTTCAAACACATTTCAAACATCAAGACCTTTTGTGTGGTATCTTGCTAAACAATGCCCGAATCATAACTCAAATGAAATTCTTATCAATAGGATTCAGTATCTGCTTCCAGGCAGTTTAACTTATCAGCATAGTAAAAGCACCACCTTTCTATCCTCTAAGTCTCTTTCTCCACACCAAAATGTCAGAAAATAAGCTTGAGGGTTAATTGGCCAAGGCTTCTTTTTTTCTTTTCTCCAATGAGAAATGATCTCATACATATATATCATAAGTCATATTGTGACGGTCAGGTCAAATTATAAACCTATATGCAGATAAAGTATGCCTGATTACACATCACAAGGAATAAAAATGGAAAATATCAGACATATTTTAGTTTTTAGATTTTCAAGGTCAATTGTCAATGAAAAGTGACCTTTCACGCTTCCCGTGTTTCTCTCTTATTAATATTACATGAGTCTTAATTCATAGAAACCCTTACTGCTTGACTAATAGAAAAGTTACCACTCGAGTTTCAATTTACAGATACAAATGTAGGGAACACTGCACTTGCAAGGCAAATTAAAAATCAATTCTATTTTTTAAATAAATGTGTCTTTATGTGTTTATAATCTTTATATTTTTTATAATACAGAGAAGTATTTTTTTAATAGCATTTGTTTAGTATGTCAGGGATCCACAGTTCTTTGACATCAAAAAGCTTACTTCGAATCTAGTGGAACAGAGGTGGTGATGAAAAAGACAAAAGACAAAAAAAGGCCATGACACAGAGCAGCACGGGCCTGTTGTCACAAAGAAATGCCAGCAAAGAGCTATGGGAGATCAAAAGGAAAAAACAACAACCCTAAATCCTGTTAGATAAGGATTCACAGAAGGTGCATTTGAGTTGGGCTTTGAAAGAGGCAAAAGATTTTGACAGGTGGAGATGGAATGTGAAGGAGACCAACCAGACAATGGACTCAACAGAAACAAAGTAATGAAACAAGAAAAAAACAAGGAATGTCTGAAAAAACTCCTGCAGTCCTACCTGGCTAGAGTGTGACACACAAGAATAGCATTAACTGAGTGAAAGGCTACATTGGGTATGTATAGGGAGTAATGACCTTGAATGACAAGCTGAGGAGACTGTAAAATTAAATATGTTCAATTTTGTATGCTAAAGTGAATGACTAAAGGTTTTATATCCAACAATGAGAACATTTAATCCGACAACAGTGTGTAGATTGAATCAGAGATGAGCTTAAAAGAGAATAGGCCTTCCCCTTCAGAAGTCCATGTGAATGGTAATGAAGAGTCAACTCAGGTAGAGACAGTGTCAACACAAAGGAGGAAGAGAGCTCCAACTGCTGCATAGGTGAGTGTCCTAATTCATCCGGGCTGCCATAACACAATACCATAGACTAGGTGAGTTAAACAATAGAAATGTAGTTTCTCACAGCTGTGGAGGCTGGAAATCTGAGATCAGGATGCCAGCTTAGTCTGGTTCTGGTAAGAGCCCTCTCTTCCTGACCTGTAGACAGTCACCTTCTCGCTGTGTCTTCACATGGTCACTGTCAAATTAGGGTCCTACCTTTGTGATCTTATTTAACATTACCTCCTAAAAGCCTTATCTCAAAATACAAGTTCAAGTGTCCTACAGGATAATCAAGGGAAGGTATATCAGACAACGAAGCAATTCACGGAGGGTATGACTTTATGTGATATGGAAGACAGTGAAATCTTATTTAAAATTAAAACAAAACAAAAAGGAATGAAAATTGTGGTGATATAATTAGGCTAAAATACATTAATATGGAATCAGAAGTGTATGTGCATGTTCCAACCATAGAATTAGATTGTCTAGCCAGCACACATTATTGTAATATTTAATCACACTTTGCCTTGATAGATAGCTATAATATGAATACAGTACTGGCTGTGTGTAAGCCCATATTATTCTTAATGAGTGCCATATCCTGTCTGCCCAGACTGTGGGTGGCTCTGGGTCAGTGACCCAGCAAATCCATGTTTGTATCTCAATCACTTAATGTAGTATATGGCTCAAAGTCAGGGATATATAAATGTGGAATGAGTCACCCCCCCCGGAAAAAGAGGCTGAGTCATGGGCACTCCAACTAATTTCACCTCTAGACTTCGTATTATTCATATAAAACAACATCATAGGAAGCTAGGCGCGAGCTAGGTATGCTTTTTAATGGAATGTTCTGTACTCTGACATGTTTGCTGTAGCTGCTGTAACAATGGAGGAAATAGAGGATAAGGTTAAAAAGGACGAGTTCCATGCTGGGAAATTATACCTAATTCACCCATCAACTGTCACAGCACAGGAAAAAAACTAACTAGATGATGCAGGAACTAGAAATAATAATAGGTACACATTTAAAGTTAATAACTTTCAAATGCCTTGGTCATGGAATTTGTCTTATGAAAACTCTAGTACAGTGAGTCCTCACCTAATGTTGTCATAGGTTCTTGGAAGTATATCATAGGCTAATTGGTATAAACA